TAACTGACAGTACTCCTGGATCACATTTATTGAGAGAGGCACAACTTGTCTCCACTGAATGCTTAACCACCACTTACTGGTTTTATTTTTGCTAATCCAAGGACTAATGATTGATCAATATATTCCAGAAATCCATTTGTGGAGACAGCTTAGGAAGGCTCTCCAAGATGAAAAGCAGGATGTTCTCCCCAGCACCCCAGCCCAGCCCACAGAAATAGGTTTTGTTGTTTGTTTGTTTATTTATTTATTTATTTTTAGATTTTATTTATTTATTTGACACAGAGAGAGCACAAGCAGGGGGAGTGGCAAGGAGAGGGAGAAGCAGGCCCCCCACTGAGCAGAGAGCCCAATGTGAGGCTCAATCCCAGGACCCTGAGATTGTGACCTGAGCTGAAGGCAGACACCTAACCAACTGAGCCACCCAGGTACCCCAGCTGGTTGTTTTCCCTGATCAGAAAAGCAGTACAATTAAAAAAAAAAAAAAGGGAGAAAATGTAATACATTGTAAATTTAAGCCATGATAAGTGTAGCAATTATAAATTTAAGCAGTTCAGGAAAGTTGAAAAGAACATTTTTTAATTAAAAATCATCGAAGAGCTTACCACTTATACATTATCATTATTACTGTTTTGTTGTCCTTTCAGACATTTTTCTCAGCATATATAAACACATAGATTGACCTCATTTTGTTTTAAAAATTCCTATTGTACTGTTCTGTTTCTAACCAGCTTTTTTATTGTTCTTAAGGTATTGTATCTTTATATAGCAGTGTGAGGATGCTTTTTGGTCATTGCTGTTCTCTTACCACCCCTACTCCTCCCAATTCCTATTCTTTATGATAAGAATTTTAGTACAGCTTAGGGCCATAATCACCACAACACCTTTTGTGAGTGTGTATGCATCACTTTTGCATTTCAGTTAAGAAGAATCTTTGAGTTGTAGTTACCGTTTCCAAAATATAAAGAATGAAGCAATTACATATTCCCCTGAGACTGATGAAATTTGTCCTCTAAATTAACCATTAAGAAATTCAATCCAGGGCATCCTGGGTGGCTCAGCAGTTTAGCACCGCCTTCAGCCCAGAGCATGATCCTGGGGACCTGGGATTGAGTCCTACGTCAGGCTCCCTGCATGGAGCCTGCTTCTCCCTCTGTCTGTGTCTCTCATGATTAAATAAATAAAATCTTTTAAAAATTAAAAAATAAAACTTATTTTAAAAAATTCAATCCATCAATTATACCTCAATAAAAATAATAATAATAATAAATTTATTTCATACAAGGTTGCCCAATGAGCCAGCCCATAACATTGACAGTCTGAGCAGTTACCACTTCAGGCTCACTGAAATCTAGGGTGTTACTCAGAAGATTGGGGAATAGCATATGGCATTGCTGAACAGTCAGGTTTAGGACAAATCAGAAAAGTGTTTTTGTATGGCACATGCAGGTAAGGAATTCTCCCATTCTTGCACCTCCCAGAAATGCAGAAATAAAGAAACTTATCTCCTGTTTGATTATTCTCTAGACAGCTAAAGTAAACTCTGTAACATTAATGGTGACAGATCCTCTTCTATGTGTTCTGCATGTGTCCTCAGTAGAGAGGAAGCCATGCAACGAAGTAGAGCCATTATTTGTTTGACTCAATTTTGCACTTAAACCTGGCATCATTCTGAATCTGGTAGTATGATTCTTCCCAAGCATTAGAGCCATTCAAGACCCAGAACTCAGCAATGTTGACCTTTAATTGCCCCACAGATGACGTTTTTGTCAGCTGGTGGGGTGGGCTACCAGTTACAGTCGTTTAAAAAATGGAACTGGTTCAGAAAATGGAAATTGTTTCATTATGATTCTAGGTATTGGAACCAAGGAGGACTGGGTGCAGACACTTTCACAAAGAAAGTCATCAGAGGTCAGACAGAGAGAAAGGTCCATGTGAAGAAAACAGATAAAAATAATTGAGCAAAGATAACTCATCAAAGTTTACCAAAAAAAAAAAAAAAAAACAGTTTTCAAATTTACATGCCTAATTATAAATACTAAGATTTGCGTTTCTAGAAGCTCAGAATCAGATTTGGAAGGGACCCTCAAGAGTTGTGTTTTGCAACTTCCCTCAAACTCTGAGAAATGCATCGGTTTGCCCCAGATCTCCCAATGAAATTAGTAGTAGGCCTTGAAATAGAATCTAGATCCTCTGCCTCTTAATGCTCTACTTTCTTTCATTACAGCCCTCTAATTTGTTGACCTTCCAAGAGTGGCTAACCTTGATGCTCTTTTAAGTCTGTCTTCTTTTTGTAGTAGAAAGTGTTCACTTGCACCCCATCCCCCCTAGGCCTAAGGAACAGAAGTCCTTGAGTCTTGTCTAGAGCGCCAAGAAGTAGGGGCTTAGGCTCTTAGTCCCAGGACAGATGGCAATTAGGCTTCTGGATTCCCTGGCGGACACTATCCTTGCTACCATTTGGCACTGCTGGAACAAGTCATTTCACAAGAATCTAAGGGAGAAAACTATTACGCAGGTGCTTTCTTATATTTAAGTATAACAGATGTCTAAACAGGTGAATGCCTGTGTTGGTAAGCCATATATTGGAAAAAAGAAGGTTCAGATCATTAAATGGCCTTGTTAAAGTATGTGTTGTTGTTAGTCCTGTGGTCTTTCTAGAAATATAACAATTTTAAAGGAAGATGAGACTTAAACACATCTGTCTTTGGTATAATTTTAAACGTAAAGTAAAAGCCACCTGGGTGGCTCAGTTTGTTAAGCTCTGCCCTCAGCTCAGGTCATGATCCTAGGGTTTTGGAATCCAGCCCCGCATCATCAGGCTCCCCGCTCAATGGGGAGTCTGCTTTTCCCTCTCCTGCTCCCCCTGCTTGTGCTCTCTCTCTCTCTCTCTTTCTGTCAAATAAATAAAATCTTTTTAAAAAAATAAAAGTAACGGAAACATTTCAGGCAATGGAGAGAGGCTTATGTGTGCACTGAGTCAGTCACCCTTGCCTGGGAAACACTTAACTCCCTTAGGCTCTTCCTGCTTTTCATAATCTCTTACCATCCTTGACTTGTTAACCCAAAGAAGTCGAAAGTTTTTTCCTCAGTGGTCATCACTGAGTATGAAGGTGTATCCTGTTTGAGTGAGTGGCTTATTTGGAAGTATGGGTCATTTATAAATTATAAACATGTAAGTGTAGGTCTGCCTATATTTGCTAATTACATAAAAGAGAAAAAGAGTGAGAGAATAAAATGTTTCTGTTGCTTCTCTCTGGTTTGAAATTTCGGGGAAGTAAAGGCCATAATCTAGTTATCCAGAGCCATTGTTAAAAGTTCGTGCCATCATTTTGACGTTGAATGTTGGACTTCCTCTTTGAAATCCCTCTTCGCTTCACCAGTACTGGTCTCAGAGCTCAAACTGTTTCAAAACCATAACATTTCTTAGTGAGTGATTGATCTGTATTACGTGTCCAGCCATCAGGGGGATCTTGGGATGTTGCTTGTATAAACTGTAATCCAATCTGATGCTTTGCATTTAGTTACAATCTTTCATAGACCTATTGGCGATACTCTATCCTTCTGGATTTGGGAATAGGGCTTATCTGATACCTTCAGGGGGAAAAAATCCATTCATTTTCTTTTCTCCCCACTTAAATAACTCAACACATCTGGTAACACTGTAGGATCATTGTCCTTCTAGTTCCTCTGCAGCTCATATTGCTACAATATTTCTTAAGTATTTGGTTACCTAAAGGGCAATGTGATTAAAAAAAAAAAAAGACTTTGTATAGGTCTTACAAATTAACCCATCTACAGAGCTAGAAAAAAAAATATGCCTTTAATCAGCAAAATTTCCATATCAGCAGCCTTGTCTGTGTTACATAGTATGAATGTAAATATAAATTTGGAGATAAATGCCCATGTATTAAAATTTTAAAGCAAGTCTTTCCACAAATTAATATAATCTGCCTCTAAGAAAATGTTTATTAAATGTAAGGTACCTGAGATTAAAGTACCTTCTTGTTTGGGTCTGTATCCTTTGGCTTAATAATGTCTTCAATTACAAGAATGATAAAAGCTGAAACAAAATCCTTTAATTCAATCAGAACTGAGCTAAATTTTAGGAAGCAGAGAGTGGGAATCAGATACGGGAACTGCATAATATAGGAAGCTAAGTATACAAGATATTAAGACTTTGTGAGAAGTGGTTGGGGCTGCTTTGAGGAATTCCGTTTGAAATGGCTGCATTGAACATTAGAGTAATACCACTATTTTATTCTCCTGAATTAAGATGTTTTATGCAAACAACTGTAAATTGTGCAGTAGCTCCAAAGAGACTGTTTTCTGCTTGTTTTACATTCTGGAACAAGTTCAAAGCTTTTGATTTTGCTTCTTTTTTTTTTTTTTTTTTTTTTTTGTTAATAGCCTGAGTCTTGGAAATAATGCAGGTTTGATGAATATGATTTCAATATTGCAGTTCTATAAAAATTTTTAGTGTTTATGGTACATTTGACCCAGGGGCCCTACACCAAACATATCCACAGTACATTTTAAGTACTACATAATGAACACATTTGAAAGGTTAACCATTCTTTTGCTTTTGCTTTTCTTTCTGTATTAAGTATGAAAATTAGCATTGTAATGACTCCCGGAATGGAGATATTGAAAAATTATCCACCTGACAGAAATTAACATACAGAAAATAAATCGAGTTAAAGATTTCAGTAGGTATCTAAAATTTAAGCTTATGTTCAAAATGGCTATTACTGGATTTTCATGTATATTAGTTCAATGCTATGCTTATAAGATTTTTTTTCTTGAATTATGCCTGAAAAAAACTGGATCACAGCTCTAATATCCAGGTGAGCAATGCCATTTGCCAGGATCTTTGTAAATAGCCCTATTTTTTCTATCAAACACACATACTGCCTTGCCTACCAAGCCTTCTGAGGCATTCTGAGGTAAAAATGCGGGCAAAATTTTATAATTATTTATCTTGATTCTTTTTTATTGTTTTTTAGGTTGTGGAACTTTTAGCAAGCGCTCTTATGGACTTGGTCCAAGGAGTATACCATGAAAATTCTACTTCAGCAAAGGTAAGGATTTGGTATTCATTATAAAATGTTAAGTTAAAAACCCTCGTGGCAAAACTAGAATTGACGAGCGAAAATGTCATTCTTGTTTTGTGTTTAAATTGTACATGACATTTTTTTTAGATTAGTGTTTTGGCTACAAATTCATGGCCATACGCTTAGTACATAGCAGATTTAGCCAATTAAAACAACCTCTTATCCTCTGGCTGGATTCACAGTCTGTTCAATCTGCCGCAGCCCAGTAGACACCAGGATGCTGCTGGCTGGCAGGTAGCACCGTCACCAGGCAGGCAGGCTGGAGAAACAACTCGTGCTGAGGTGGCTGGGCCCAGCCTTTCCCCCGAGGAAGGGGCTTTCCATGTCCCAGAAGAGTGGACATGATCTGAAGAAGACCACTTTTGGGGGCCTGAGGGAGGAAGGTCTTTTACAAGATCCAGAATTTACTACAATTATTAACTTCTCTGTGATAAGAAGTAGGATGGTTGTGCAGTTGGATCATTTGGATTAATTATATGGACCTAGAATTAAGGTTTTTTGACTCATTTAACAGGACATCTTATGGGTTAGGTTTTATTTCTTTAAAATGCAGTTACTTCATTTCAGTAAGATATTGAATGTGAAGCAATTGCCTCATTGACCACCACCATCATTTAACATGGTATATACTGTTATACAGGATTCCTGTCTTAGTGTTTCATTATTCTAACTTTCTTAGCATCTGTATTAGCAAGATTTGATTCACTGCAAATTAGAGAAAATATGCACGTATGCACATCTTAGGCTTTTTGACATTTCCATTTGAAAAAAGAAAGACAAATTTTCCTGGAAATGAAACATAGGGCATGAGCAACTTGGATAGAAAATTTTAAAGTATAACCCAGGGACTCTGGATGGTTCAAAGAGTGGTAAGTAAAATATGAGGAATTATACCTTGAACGTCTGCTAACATTTGGTTCAAGGAACCACAGTTCCCAGTAGGCATATCTAGCTTCACCTAAGCAGCATAGTGGTATGTGGAGACCTGGCAAGGATATATGACCACAGTGGGACCCCCCTTTGCTGCATTTTTCAAAAACCTAACATACTTCACTATACCATAGCTGAGGGTTAATACCAGATGGTAAAATGGAGGATCCCTAATGTAGCTCCACTCATAAAAAGTTGCCTCATATATAGTATGATAAAGATGATGATAGATGAGTACATAACACTGCCAAGCAACTCATCTATGTTTCTTCATTTAATCTTCACAGAAGTCCGCTAGCAGACACTACTGCTTCCCCATTTTATATATGGGAAAACTGAGGTTTAGAAAAGATTAAATAATTTGCCCACAGTCATACAACTTATTAGTTGAGATTTGAACTTCAGAGCTCAGACTCTTCTCATTTTCTGCCTCTCTACCTTAATGAAACCCAATTCGTTAGCATCCTCTGCCGTACCTGAGATCCCACCATTTTTGATGATTATAGTGACCTCTTCTGGTGGTTGAGCCATTGTTTTCCCCTGGGATAGTTCTAGGTGTTCAACTTAGTTCCATGTAAGATATTAATATTTTACAGTTAAGTACTTTAATTTTTAGGCGAAAGTGTTTTTTTTAAGATTTTATTTATTTATTCATAGACACAGAGAGAAAGAGGCAGAGACACAGGCAGAGGGAGAAGCAGGCTCCATGCAGGGAGCCCGATGTGGGACTCGATCCCAGGACCCCAGGATCACACCCCAGGCTGCAGGTGGCGCCAAACCGCTGCACCACTGGGGCTGCCCTTAGGCGAAAGTGTTATTACTGGTTTTAGGGTTCTTGATTTATCCGCTCCTACCATTTGTCCACCATAACTAACCTAATTCAGTAATAATTTCGTGAACATTTGTTAAGCACTGACACTATGTGTCAGGCAACCTAATGGCAACAACAATAATAAACACTCCGAGAGTACTTTACAGCGTGCTAATATTTTCTTTCTATACAATCACCATGAAAGGGGGGACATTGGTTGGTATGCCCATTTTATAGAGGAAAAGCCTGAAATTCAGGGATGACAAAAAGCAGGAAAGCACAGTGTCTGGAAACTATTTGGGGATGCATGTTTCCCAGTGACATGACCTGAACCCAGGTTTTTTGAGTCCAAGTCCCACATAATCTGTTTCTTCCTGGGAAAGAGAAAAGAGGAAGCAACAAAAGTCTTTGAAAGACTGTTGATCTGTGCACTGCCACTTAGTAAGCACTAATTGCTGACTTTGATTAGCTAGTTTTACTCAAAAGAATCTGTAGCGATGCTTTGTTCGTCTGCCCTCTTTCCCTACCAACTCCTCAAACACAGCCCTTGAAAGCACTAGAGACCTTCTTTAAGCAATTACATTCCTGAATATAGCCAAACCATATAAAGAGCTGTTTTGGGTCTTTGTTGGGTTTTTTTTTTTTCCTTTTTTTCTTTTTATAACGGAAGCAAAATGCATAGTTGAACTGAAGCTGTGGGGGTGCTTCTTGATGTCTCCATTTGTGCCCTAGGTCCAATTTAGGTTAACCGCATTTCCCTTCCTAACCAGAAAAATCCTGGCGCTCTTTATTTTCCCCCTCCTCTTACGTGTGCTTGCCATTGCAATGGCAGTTCAGAATTTGGGTTTTCTGACTTGGCCCAGGAATCACTTCAGAGGCAGAGAGCACCGCCCCACATGGAGCGCCTTCAAGGTTTTCATGTTCTGGCATGACTGGGTAGCAGCCACAAGTGGAGGTCATGCGGGAAGCGAGTGGCACAACCTCCGTAGCCTTGGGCCAATTCAGTACACAAAAGAATTGCTTTGTGATTTAAAATCAGCTGCAAACCATTTCATCTCCTTAGGGAGAAGAGAATACAATAGCAGTCTGTTTTCTATATGGCTACTTAATGCAGTGATGGAGAACCTGGGTAGTACAAAAATAGCTTTTTGTGGAGTCATATCTATGTGACCAGGGGAGATGCATTAAAAGCAAACGGAGGGGAATTACAACTGAACAGGTTCAACATCACCTTCTCCATAAGTTTGTAGAGTAATTACCTAATCCTCCTCTAAACAATGAAAATTTTGTGACTTCTGTCGGTAACACTCGACAGATAATAGGTAAATTGTGATCATGTAAGCATTCGAAGTGATTTCGGAAATTCATCCCTTGTTCTAGCCATTGAAAAACAACATTTTTATTTTTGTGTTTGCTAGTCTGTGAGCCATTTTTCCCTTATAATAAAAATTAGCCATGTGCTTTCTTTAGCATTCATAGTATCACCCCTCCCTCTACCTGTTTTGTTTTTGTTAGTTAGCTAATTGGGGAAAAAAAGCATATTAAATAGAAAAATTGCATATATTTTTTAAAGATTTCATACATGAGAGACACAGAGAGAGACAGAGACAGGCAGAGGGAGAAACAGGCTCCCTGTGGGGAACCCGATGCTGGACTTGATGCAGGACTTGATCCCGGCCCCTGGGACCAAGCTGTGAGCAGAAGGCAGACACTCAATCCCAGCCACTCAGGCATCCTGAAAAATTGCATATTAAATGTAATGGTTGTTTACCATTCTAAGAGTTCCCCAGTAAGGTTCTGCCTTGTACGTGGTATTCCTGTTACTCACTATACCCAATAAATATTTTATGTTTTAGTAAAATTGGCTTTGAATCCACAGACCTTTATATCTAAAATAATCTTTCTAACATAGTTATCTTATACTTTGTTTCTAATTAGAAGAGTAACTGCATGTTCATTAAATAAAAATTGAAAGCACAGAAAAAGGTCAAGAAGAAAATAAAAATTATTCTACATAAACCATTCCCCAGAAATGAATCATGATTACTCCTCAGTGTATTTCCTTCTAGATTTCATTCTGTATCTTTCCCATTTTAGAGTTATTATTGTATATGTTTTTACCCTGGTTTGTTCCCTAGGATTTGTCATTAAAAGTCTTCAAAATTTAATTTTAATGGCTACTTAATATTTCTTCCTACTACTATACTATAATTTACGGAACCATTGCACAATTTTTTAGATACTTACCCTGTTTTCTTTTTTGTAATGAATTTTAGCAATATTATATATTATGATGAACCTCTTAGTGTATATGACTCTGCTCTATTTCATACTATTTGCTAAAAAAAAATCTGAAAGTGAGATTTGTTTTTTAATCAAAATTAAGAATATTTTCAATATATTCCTATGCAGAAAAAGCTTGCTGTCCTTAGAAAAGCCAGCTTATAGGGCACCTGATGGCTCAGCCAAGTAAGCATCTAACTTGATTTTGGCTCAGGTCATGATCTCAGGGTCATGGGATGGAGCCCTGCATCAGGCTCTGTGCTCAGGGGAGAGCCTGTTTGAAATTCTCTCCCTCCCTCTCCCTTTGCCCCTACCCCCTTAAGTAAATAAATCCTTTTTAAAAAAGAAAAGAAAAACCTGCTTATAAGGTTGGCCCATGGCTGCCATCTAGGAACTTGGATTTTAGGAGTGTCTCTACCATTATCTAACTGATAAGTGAAGCTCACTGTACCCAAACTGTTTCTGCAAACACTGTGGTTTATTTTGAATACCTACTTTCTGGGAGTCTGAAAATTTGGCATATGCTAGATAGGGGGTGACCAACCCCTCTGAAAAACTGAGCTCTGAGTTTCCAATAAATTCCCCAGTAGACAGCATTTCATATGTTATAGTATGTGTTAATTCTTGGAGGAATCAGTCACATCCTGTGTGACTCCACTGGTAGAGGACTCTGGGAAACTTGCATCCAACTTCCTGCAGACTTCATCTCTTGCAGCTTTTTCCCTTTGCTGGTTTTGCTTTGTATTCTTTTGCTGTAATAAATCATGAGTTCGACTGTGGGTTGAGTTCTAGGAGTTCCTCCAAACAAGGCATGGAAACCTTGGAGTGGTCTTAGAGACCCCTAGACACTCTTTCTCTGGTTCTTTATTATTTATTTCCCACCCTCTCCTATTCCTTCCTTGAGAATCTAACCACGGTCCTCTACAACTCTTATGTTGGTGTT